TAAACATGGGACAAATTCCCATCAACTTCCTGACACAGTCTTTAAAAAGATCGAGTTTTGGGAATTCCCTTGTAGGGGTATTTAATTACGGGATGCTGGAGCGCGTCTGCAGACTCTAGGGAGGGACAGAGCCTGGCAGCAGCAGGCGTGTGATAGCTGCTGTGGACTGGGATTATTTAGCAAGAGAGTAGGGCGTTGTTAAGTGAACTTCTTACCTGCTGTCCTTGCTGATAAGACATTCACTGCTGCTCACTGCTCCCTACTACAAGGACTAACTTTTCACCCCAATGCAGTAAGAGGGCAGCTGGTTAGTGGTGGAAAGGACAGCAACCTGGGGCAACAACAAAGACACCTACAACCCCACTCAGCTGTGCTGCCATGCCTGTTACAGGAGACCTCTGACCTTTCAGAGCCACCTCTGTAAAAATCTAAGCCTGGAGGGAAATCTGTCTTAGGTTCTTCCTAGCAGTGGTCTGGTGTTACCAGGGTTGTTGCTGTAGCTGGTTCTTCCGTAAGAAGGGCATCAGACAGCACAAAGCACCACGAACAGTCACGTAAATGCTGTTAAAAATCACCTGCTTGCATTCAGCCTTGATGTTAAATATTGCCAACTGCTGTGAAATCACCCCGCGTCATCTCTGTGAAATCTGTTACAGAGCAGCAGGGAGGGCTGTGCTCCTCTAGCACCAGGCAAGAGGCTTTGTCAGAATAATCGGAGCACTGGTGCTGCTAAAGCAGATGTGCCTGTCTCTGGGACTTGTGGTGGGATGATGCCGTTTGGATCGTCCCAGCCTCGCTGCCTGGTTTCCTGATCCATTCCCAAAGAAACGTGGTGCGTAGCTTTGCTGGCCTTGCTCACCCCAGTCCAAGTAATTTTCTAAGCAAATGATCTGTAGTCTACCAAACAACAAAAAATAATGTTTTCACTTGATGCTTTCATTTCCCGTGCGGGGAGGCCCACGTTTTGCTGCTGACTGATGAGATGTGGTGGTAAAAGGTACAATCTTGGGGATCTCAGTAGGCTCAGAGCATCCTTTTGAGGAGAGAGCACTTGCAGGATTCAAGTGTGGAGGCATTTAGGAAGAAGCTTGGTACAGGCTGACTCCCTTTCTGTCTGTTCCCCTGGAATAACTCAGTTTGCTATTATTTAGAAGAAAAATAAAAATCATCTTATGTGTTCTGTTCCTTAGGGACAGATTTTTATTTTTCTCCTATAATGCAAATAAGCTTTAATGTCAAGAGGAGAATGACATCCAGGGGGAGAAGGGCCAGAGCAATCATTAACTAATTTTATGCCATGGTAGACCCCCCAATTCTCATTAGTCTGCCCTTCTCGCTCTTTCACCTTGGAAGCTTTAATTGAAGTGATTGCTGTTTATTGATTTTTAGCATATTGTCTTAATAGTCAGAGGAGGTCAAAGTAACTTTAGGCCAGTCTAGAGAGGGTGTAAGGAGACATTAAGGACATGTAGTGGGTTAAAGATCTGATTATGTTTTCAATGAAATCAGACACTCCTTTGATTTCAGCAGCAAAATTCCTAGCTACAAGAAAAGTGTATTATTTATTTAAAGACAAAATTACTGTCAAAAAAAAAAACACACCAAAAAGCAAGGATTTGGAAAGTCAGCACATAAAGTATTATCAAACTGTGGTTTGATGAGAGAATATTTTTTTTTTCCTTATATACTTACTTTGGGGTCAATTAAGCCATAAAGGTGCAGCTTCAGTGGGATTCTGAGGAAGCAATTGTATTCTAAAGCAAAGTTTGAAGGTTTTTTCAAGCTTTTCTATAGAGAAATGGACTCTGAAGAGCAACTTCAGTCCATGGCATATAATAAGCCTGTTCTGGCCTTTTTTTTTTTTACCGCCCTTTTTAAATCCAATAAAAATGAAGACTATGAGAAAATTGCAAAGTTTACAAACAAGAAATGTTCCTGTTGCCTATAGACATGTCTGGCAGCACCTCCTGCTATAGTCCAGTAAGCAAAATATTTTCTGTACGATTCCTTAGTTTTCCTGTGAGAGGTAGAACCACAGTCCCACTGTCCACCATCTCCGTAATTTCCTTGTCGATGCAGTTGGAGCCTGTGTGAGTCAGAACTGGCAAGAAATGGAGCTGTTCAGCTGAATTCAGCTGTGTTTAACATCAGCATTTAGAGCAGTCCCGATGCTGTATCGCACCATGTGCTAGGGCCAAATGGGACATTTAGAGCAGTAATTCCAGGAGCTGGCTCTTCTCCTGTGTACAGAGAATGTGTTGGGCTGGAAGGGACCTTTAAAGGTCATCCGTGCAGTTATATTCTAAGATGATGCTATTTTATGTAAACTACCAGTACTACATAATATCATGATGTCCTGTTGGCTCTCAGGATTCCTAATATCTTTCCATTGCAATGAAATTCTATAAAACAAAGATAAAAAATGATGCTGTATTTACAACCAATAGAATATATGAACATAACCAAACTGCTAACTTGGGGGCTAATTTGGCCATTACAAATATTCCCGTGTGATGATAATGCGGTGTGTAGCTTATTCTCACCTGCGCTGTATACATCTGCAAAATTTATTTTGAAAACAAGACAGATGGTTTGCTTTGTGTATTTATAATGTTATGTACTTTTTTCTTGAAAACAGCTTAATCTTTAATATTTCGAAGCACTCATAGTCTATCCTATCTGTCCTCCCGTTCTTCAGAGAGGGAGAGAAATACATCTTTGTGTGTACTGCACATAGACGGATGAAAAATAAACTTCCTCGCTAGCAAGTAAGCCCAAGAACAATGTTGCTAGCAGCTGTTGTGCTTAAAGCCCAGCTGAGAACACTGTTCCATTATGAGCTCTCAATGCTCTTCTCGACATCAGTAATCAAAGTGCCAGGACAATGTACTGTAAACCACAAAAGCTCCTCTGTCTCGCGCGAGGGATCTGAAAAGAGGCTTTCACGGTGCTCAGAACACGCTGGCAGACCGCGCCAGTTCAGAGCCCGCAGCGTTCCGGAAGATGTTTATGTACAAGGAGGGCAAATCTTGTCTAATCATCGGTTAAGAAGCTACTATAACTGTTATTTTTAAAAAAATGAGCAGAATCGTATGTATATGCCGAAGACAACCATCAGATCATTAGGGGCTGCTCAGTGGCTGCGTGAAGTGCAGTGGCTGAGGAACTGAAAAGGCTTTTGTGCTCCTTCCAGCAGGAGAAGGACTTTTCTACTCTCACAAAGAAAAGGCAAGACCTATCCTTTAAAAACAAGCAAACACCTATTTCCTCCTGATCTATAAAACAGTCATTTCTGTAGTCAACCTTTTTTGCAAGCAGAAAGTAACAAAGCCAACGAGTTTGCTAACAACAGTGGTAGTTTTTCTTAAGGATGAAATCCCAGGTTAATAAGCACAGAGTTCTTCAACTTTCACTTAGTTTTGTAACCTTCAGGTTGTTGGGATGTTAACCCTCCACTGGGTAAAACGGCACTGAAGTAAAACCAAGTGACTTCTCGTTGCATTGTGCATCTAAAAAGGAATGTAGCTACTGGGGTTTTTTTAGGGATTTTTACTTTGACATCAGTGGAAGCTCTGAGCAACAATGTCAGAGAGAGGATGATCAGCTCGGTGATAAGAATACCATTCTTTGTAATTTTATTTTAAATGAAATTACATTCAGATACAGCCCAGTTACATTAGCAGAGATTTAAACAAATGTTTAAAGCGTGCAAACTCCTAAAATTAATCTCTGATCTTCCCAATTCTTTTGTCGTTGATATTATGATCTCAGACTAAATACACTTGTTTGCAGTACCCAGATTCAAAATCACAGTCATGTCAAAAAAAATACAAAAACATCTAAAATTACACTTTCCAATCTAACTTGTAAGAATAATAAAACCGTTGAAATGCCTTCATTAAAAAGCCCCATTGACATGATTTACAGCTGTACAAACTGTTTAAAACCAGCACAGGGTAAGTGAACAAAGCAGTGCTCAAGATTTGAAGCAGATTTTTTTCCCACTGCCCTTACGTAGATTCTTCTGTCTAAATTACAAATAAAAAAACCACTTCGAAATTGTATTAAGTTCACCAGAATAAAAAAAAAAACCACACCTCAAATAACTGAGAGAAGAAAAGGCCATATTCTGTGATGCATCCTCCCAGGATGTGGAATGGTACCGAAACAAGGGTTTACCTTGTGCTTGGTATTTGATTGAGACCTGCATGGAAAACACATCCTGCACCTGAGAAGGCGAGCAGTGTCCTGCTGGGAAGGAACTGAGCGCTGCTGAATAAGGCAACCGAGACAACGTATGGCTGAAGTGCAATCCTGTTAAGGCAGAGTATGTTTTTGTGAAGCTGCTACTTCTTCTGCTTCCACTTAAAAGCAGTAGTGCACTACAATGTGTTTAAGAGCTTTGGTTTAAAAGACCTGGTGGAGCTGGAGGTGGCTCTCGGAGATAAATCTGAAGTAATTCATTGCAACAAGCTAGACAGTCCCTCAAAAATACCTCTGGCAACTTCATATTCTTGCAGCCATTCGGTCCAAAGCTCCAAATACAGGTACTAACAAGACAAACGAAAATACCCATCCCTTGTTTGCCCCCTGCAAGGCAGAGTTCCCATTCTGGATCAGGCATCATCTGAAATTTTACATGAGCATGGCCATACTTCGGCCCAGTAAGTAAGTGAATCATGACCAGTCCTACCTTTGCAACAGACGCAGAATTAGTCCTTTATCAGGCCACACTCTGCACAATTATACGCTGGCCTTAATCTAAAGGGATTTCTGTGGTATTAGTTTGGATTTTTAAGGGAAGGCAGAGTTTGGCCCATTTTAGCACATTACAAGAAGCCGGTCCACAGCTTCTGCTTGAAGAATCAATAGATTAAACAAAGTATTGGTCGCACTTTCCATATTTACTACACCAAAAGCTCCACTCACCCCATTTGACCAGTTTCCAATTATCATTTATCCTTCCCAGTGCTAAGAATTTCTAGGTTATTCACAGAGATATATCGAAGCTCAGGAAAGTGTAACAACAGAGGCATCGCGTTGCCTAAGCTTATGCTTAACACTACTAGGAAGTGCTGGGCTCTGATCACTCTTTGGCTCAAGGCTGGAGCCTCCTCGGATAGATCAGTTCTTCCATTTGTTGGAGTCCCAAGCCAGGAACCAGCCTGTGAATGTTGGGGGTTCATGTCCCTGCTTCACAATCACAATGGGGGTCCCCTTATCTCTTCCAGAAGGATCTGTTTCAACGTAGCGTTTGGCTACAAACAGAGAGGAAATAAAACATGTAATATATTATTAGTTCATTCCCTTGGCATAGAAAATGCATTAAAAGTCGCAGTGGAAGAACCCAGGGCCACTATAATGCAGTATTCAATTAAATTATTTCAAAGGCAGGGAAATGAGCAGGTAATTGCTGATTTCTCCCAGACGCCAGTGAAGAAATTTTCCACGAGGTTAAAACAGAGGGATTGTTGCTCTGATCAGGTTGTTGCCGTATAGCTGGGATTTGGCTGTTGAACAGGAGAAAGGATTTGCTGGTCCTTTTTTCCCATTCAAAAGCCAGTCCATATTCCCCTGACATAGCGCCGGGACATCAGGACATATCGGAAACACAGCTGGGTCACCTTAACCGCTCCAGGGAAATATCTGCAAGCGTTTTTAGCACAGAAGAGCTCCGCTGTGTGAAATCACACCAGAGATGACACGTGATTTTTCAAGTAGGTGCACTCCACTTGCCCTGTCTCAATTTGTTCTGCAATTGGAATCTCCTCCTCCAAGTTTAACGCAGTGAAGGGTGGCACTGTAAGGACCTGAGGATTTGCTGGCGTTCCTTAGATAGGGTGCAGCTCAGGAGGCATCTCCTTTTAAATTCTTTCTCTTTTCAGTGCAGTTTCTTTTCATGGAGCTCTCCTACATACTCTTTAAAAAGCTCTTCAGCCTAGTAATGCTATCTTGATTAATTTTGCCCTTCATAAACTTACAGATAAGAAAGACATGGGTTTTAAAGCACATTTAAAGGAGAAAATAATCTCCAGGATTAAATCCTAATAAGCTCAGTAACACTTTTAAACACTGTAAACATAACTTGATTTTTTCTACATCATCCTTCTCACTTCTTTAAGTAATATTGATGCTACTTCACTCAGAATTCTGCCAAATTGATTTGATTTACCAGATTTAACGGATTCCTGTCGCTCAGTTTCATTAGCATCCTTCCCAATCCAGACAAAAACCTGCAGAGGAGAGAAAGACAGAGCTTCCATGTTGTTACAAGGATGATGTGTACAGCAGGTAAAGTACAAAATAGTTGATTCCGTTAGGGGGAAGAATATACATTATTAAAAGACTGCAGAGATACACAGCTCTCACAAACCACAAATGAAGATTTTTTTTTTTTTTTTTTTTGCGAGAGACTGTATTTCTGTCCTCTGAAATCCTGCTGCTCTCTTGGCACTGGAAGGCCAGATTTCTATGCACTCTTATGAAAGGAACTCGTATTACGTTTTCCATGGGTATCTTTTACAATTTACCAAATAAACTGGTCCTTAGCTGCAGGTAAAAACACTGACCAGGAGTTGGTTCTGGTGTGAGCTCTGCGTGTGCATCAACGATTGTGTCCGGCGATCAGTGCTCCCCAGGGTAGCTGCTACATCACCCGCTGAGTAGCTCAACAACCAGAGCCTCGATCTGCAATCCCCACAATTTTTTTTCTGTCAAGGATCCTTTTGGAAACCAGCTACGTGTCCCGGGCTTCCTTCCTTCTTGCCTGAGTCAGCATGTCCCAACTACTTTCCATCCCTCTCTTCCACCCACTTTCCCCATCACCCTTTCCTGCACAGACTTTGCTCATTTCTAAAAACCTCACCCTTTTTTCATTAAGGGTTAGGCTGAAGAAGATAAATAAAGTGTGGGATCTGTGTCCTCCTCCCCCTTTCCCTCCAAGGAGAGAGGAAGGGTAGGGAGCATATGCTGTGAGAAACAGATGTGCCCTCCACATCTGCAGCAAGTTTGCCTGCTCATCCAAAAAGCTCTCAACTTTTTCAGTTTTCAGTGAACCTGGGAAAATGATGGAGATGTCACCCTCTGTCCAGTTCTTCTGAAGAAACCTCTGCAAGGGTGTAGTGTTTGTCTCCTTCTCCAGTAAGACTTCTTGTAGGTGCTGCTGCTCCATGGATCTTGTGACTTCTGAATACCTTTTATGCAATAACTATTTCTTTTAAAATTAATGAATTTTAGTCATAAGGTGTCAAGAACATTACTCAGAGCCTTTCAGAACTCTGCCAGGTCACATACTCTTGAAGTCTCCATTGGTTTTAATGGGTAGTGCCTGCCATGGTCTTACACTATGCTTGGAAATTCAGTGCTCTATGTCCTGGTGTGAGGTAAACAGAACCAATCCTGCTCAGTGATTTTACTTTTCAATTCAGTCTCTTCTAAGACATCCTCCCAGGGTGGTACTTGGCAAAGACCCTCCGGATTTGAGCAGCAGCAGTGGTCATTGTGGGAGTTTGCCCAGCAGCAGTCAAGAACATCTGGGACCAAAGGTGTCTTCTGGTTTAGGGAGCGGCGTTTAGTGGTGAGCCCAGCCCTAACCCTGTAGTTCACACTAGCACATCATATAGCTCAAAAAACATAGCTCCTTCTGGTATAGTTTAGAGAAAACAAAAACTTCTATTCTTGTAAAGATTATTTTTCTTCCCGTGGTTAAGAATAAATTATCTTTGTTTCCACAAAAAGCAGTGGCCAAGTAAACAGCTTACCTGCTCCCAAGCGTCCAGCAACATGACATCATCTTCAGCCAAATCGTCCTGAGTGAACTCTCCTGGGACCTCCTCAATCTAGAAACGATATTTTATTTTGGGATGGTTTTGTTGCCTTTTTTTTTTTTTTTCCCAATCAACATATTCTGATTTTGCACGGACCAAAGGCATTTTTTAAAGGATAGTAAGTCCACAAGCTGTTGTGCAATTCTTTTTGCTCCTAAAGGGTCAAAGCCTAAACTGCTCTGATGAATGTGTCAAGAGTGTTTCACTGAAACAAATCACATAATTGCATGTCCTATAAAATCAGCTCTCAGAATTCACAGGATATCCATTTCTCCACCCACCGTTGTGGTGGCCAGGTGGTCAGAGGGATCTGTCCTACTTCTCCTGGTACGCTTGAACAATGATGATTCTGTTACTCTAGTAAATGCTACAGGAAAGAGGGAATTTCACAGAACTTGGAGGGAAATTAAACAAAAACCAAACAAGTGCGCAGCTCCCAGCAGACTGTCATAGAGAAGTTCCTGTTTTTCCTGCTGAATTCCACAGGAGTGTTTTAGAAGCTAGAATACACTTTACTACTCTCATAAGATTTTAAAGCCCTTAGTAAAGGATCCTATTGGTTTTATCCCTCTCCAAATGAATGGGCTATGCCTTCATCCAACCAGCTGTGCCCCCTACCTTAAAATTAGCGCATCCTTGCCCAACAGTGACACAGCGTTGCCCTCCCAGAATACGGCAAGTAATTAAGCCTGAATCACAGCCTTAATAGCCAGCACACGGCTCTGGGTATTTCTGCTAAGAAAATAAGTCTTCCTACCCCCTTGAGCACAGGCCAATACCTTACGGGCGTAATTAAACGTCTGAAATCTCTGGAAAATATGAGGCTGGTAGGGATTTTTGTTAAGGACATTTCTTTTTCTCACACCACTATCAAACCCAAGGCATCGACCTGCGTTTTCTCAGTGAAATGACAGAAGTCTGGCAATGCTCTGCAAGAACACAAGTGCTTTTGACCGGGCAAACGCCTTTTCCTTTTGCATCTGCAAGCCTCTGGTCCCAGGCTGGAGCAGGCTCTACGTGCAAACTTCTGTGCTATTAATTCTTCTGTCTGTCCTTTGCATTTGGATTGATTTAAAACACCAAATGTCAACTCTCTAGCTCTTGCCAAGCACAACTAACTAAGCCAGGTCCCCAAATTTATTTAATGTCTGCTGATTCCCAAGGCAAAAATATACCAGAAACTATATAATTAACCAGAGAGGAAAAGTAACCCTCATATACTCACAACAAATCTGCCAGTCTTATTAGAACAACCATATAGGCGAGGAGGATGATCTTCAGCCTTTGTCAAGAGTTGTGGTGAAGTCTGATATTTTTTTTTACCTCCAAGCGCTTTCCAGAATTCCTCTGAAACACACAATATATAATTTATTCAGCAGTGAGGGATTTATCATTTGACGTTTTTACCTTGTTAGATGGTATTTCAAGAATGCCCAAACAATTTCTTCTTTGCTGTTTCGAAGATGGGTGCATTTTCTTACAGTTCTTCTTGCAGTTTGTAAAATAACTACAGAGACATCACTCGCAGACCTAGACAGAGCAATGAGCTATGTCCTTCTCCTCTACTGGGCACTCATGGTCAAGGATGGACGACATTCCTCTGCAGCTGCTGCTATTGCCTGGTCTTACAGACTGCCAGGGCATCGTACTGCCTGTGTATCAGCCATGGTAACATGTCAGGTTGGGTTTTCAAAGAGTGAGCACATGCATCTGCCCACAAAATATATGATGGCAAACCCCATTTAGGCTGTGTGTCCCTGCAGTGCCGTGTGTTCTCTGCCGCCTGTTAGCAACGACACGGCTTCATACTGACCGGGTTCCTGGCCTTCATTCATCTTAGCAGTCTGGCATTTAAGAACGCTGGCAATGTATTGAGCCCCTTGTTCCTCTTCTTTGCTTGCTCCTTCTCCCACCCAGGTGTAGCCGGAGTTGTTTGGCAGTTTCAGAACAAAGACATCATTGGAGTTTAGTGACGTTGCATCAACATCAACCTAGATCAAGAAAAAAATTGGTTTATTCTTCATATTTTCAAGTAATGTGATACTGGTTTGCAGGCTCGTATTAAACAAGAGATGTTGATCAGCTGATTTTTTCCTTCAAATTTTCCCTAGATTTATAATGATTGACGTTAGAGAAGAATTTAACTTGAAACAAGGAACTGACTTGAAGGACAAAACTTACAACTATTTCTCAGTAGGAAAGACTTTCTCATAAAGGTTGTTGATTTCTGGTCTATTATTTGTCAGCTGACAGGGTTTGCTATGGATTTCCTTACAGTTTCACCTGAAATTGGCTGTAGCTGGTTATGGAATATTCTCTTTGGTTTTTTTAGATGGGTTAGTCACATTGAGCAGTGATTTGACCTGGAGTTCTGCGTTCCTACTACGTGTGGCTACCCAAGAAGAGCGGCTGGAGAGGCTCACGGCACCTTTAGTATTTTATTTTCCGTGGGCACATAGCTGGTTTACTCAGCAGGTGACCTTACCTCTGCAATCCTAGTAATGGCTGCCAAGTTTCTGCGGATTTGGAAGAGCCGCGTGGGTGGAGCAGGTTTCTGACCCTCCTTCTTGGATGTCCCGTCCTTGTAGACAATAAGGGGCTTGTTTTTGAACAAGCTCAGCAAATGTGCAGGTTCTTTGCCTTGGCTGACTCGGATCTGTACGTACGGAAAGAAATGCAATAAAAGAAACAAAAGGAAACAGGTTTTGCTCTTTGTCGAATCGCATAGGGGTTGATAGCCCATAAGAAGTGCGTTAACAAGAACGAGAAGTGGCGAGCTGAGAAGATCTAAAAATACAGTCCCAGACACACTGAAGTTAGAACATTTATGAGATTTTTTTGTCAATCACGCTGACACAAAGACAAGATTCAAACTTCTAACATAATTTTTAGCTGATTAAAATGGCTAATACCTACTGTTCTAAGAAAATTACTCTTTTTCAAAAGAACTGTCATTTCAGAGAGTTTTATAGAATGACTTAATTCCCCTGAAAAACTGTCTTTGAAGTTTAGGTGCCCTGTATTTCAGCAGAGGAGAATGGTTATTCACGCTGTTCATTATTTCTGTATGTATTTTATCTGCAAGTGGATGAAAAAGATGAGCATAAATCTATTCTGCAGACGATAACACGGACGACAAAACTGAACTTCCATTAAAGATGCAAAAGATGCCACCGCAGTATCAAAAAACACTGAGCTACGAAGGATGATTTTTAGGTTAACGTATGATAGAAGTTATTTGTATATAACCATTTTTTCGTCCTTTACAACAGTACCACCCGCCAACGTGGAGGGCTGCAACTCCCCACCTTTCGCTCCCAGAAGGAAAGGGGAAAAAGGGAGAGAAGCGTGCTGTGTGGCCAGCAGAGGAGATGTGGAGAGCCCCGGCCCTTTAGCCCAGGGTGGTGAGGATTGGGAGAGCTGGGAGGGTGCCTGGGAGCCAAGAGGGGCAGCAGGAGCAGCTGCTTTTGCTCATCTTACCCCTGGATACATCCCGTGGTTGCCTGATAAGGATACTCTACGACATATGTACTTGTGGGTACCAAACTGCGGCAGGGTTTTACAAATGTCAAAAGAAAAAAAAAATCAACATGAAAAGACTCAACTGCTGAGGGAAACATTCCTGCGAAACAGATAGAACGGCTTTTTAACAGTCATTTGTACTGTAGTGCCATCTGGTGACCACAAAATAGTACATTTAAATCTTTCCAGTAATGCTAATACAGATGTTAGGCACAGGTGATACAGAGAGCTGCGTATACGCGTACAAATGCACTCATGCATATTACCTATGTGTGTATATATACACATCCATATGTATACACATATACATTTCTAAATTCATTGCAGGCTGAAAGTACTTTTAAGTAACATGTCCCTTGCAGTGAGATGGATTGCCTTCAGCTTCAATTAAAGGGCTTTTAAAGCACGTTATTACTGCAGCTGCTAGTAGTAGTAGTAGTAGTATTACTTTAGTGTTAGTATTGGCCTTAGGTACGAGGCAGGATCATATTGTGCTGAACTCTGTCCAAATATAGAACATACAATCATAGAATCATAGAATGGCACATGCATTAGGAATATTAGTAATTACCTGGAGGCACTCTAATTCTTCCTTAATATAATTTCAGTCATAAATCATAACTGATTAACAGCTAAAAGTGTGGCCTGCCATCTAAATTAACTGTACCTTGGTGGGTGGGGGAAGCCCTTTATTTTGGTAATCAGGAAACAGGAAGCACAGAATTATCTCCTGCTGCCTAGAAAATCTCTGCCTGTCCCTAGTCATCTTCCAGCTCTGTTTTTTCTGGGAAAAGAGGAGACCTCTCAGCTCTCCACCTACCCACTGCTCCACACCAGCGAAGAACGGAGAGCACACACCAGGACTAGCTTATCTCCTCACATCTTTTAGCTGCCAGTGCCCTGTCCCTTGCCTTGCACACCCCGTTTCTGCAAGCGAGGATGCGTGTCCTGCTGTCACGGAGCTGCAAGCACTATGGGATGGAAAACCCAAGTTACATCCCTCACTAAGGCAGGGACAAGCCAGACCCTGGGGCACGGTTCTGGCTGTCGTGTGACTTCCACACCTCCAAGTTTTGGCCCTTTGAAGGTCACACCTCTTGTTTGGACCAAACATCTCAGCTTCCTACATCATCAAAAGGAGACAGGGGAGCTCACAGAGGGCTATCGCCCTGTCAGACACCTGCATCACACAGAGTTGTGCTGGGAGGATTTATTCAGTCTCTGCTGACCATGCACAGAGTCTGTAAAGCCAGGCAGGACTATTTTAGACAGTGAAAGTCGAGGGGAAGAAAAGGCAGTTTTAGATTATGTCACATCTGTGTTCTTTTGGACACTATATTCGGAAAGAATGATTCAAATGGGAAATCGCTGGTGATTTTAAAAGGAGCCCGTGGTGCTTGGCTTGATACAGACCATGAGCAGCTGATATTTCCAGCCTTCAAACATTACCTTCGCCTTCCCATTCTCATTGAAATTTGCATATATTGCATGCTCTGTTGGCTTTTATCCAAAAGACACTAACCTGCACAGCCTGGTCATTCAATGACCGATCCAGCTGAACAGTCAGAAACGCAGATGCAGTCAGTTCATCTTTTGTAGCGTGGGCTCCTTGCCTGAGAAAAACAAGGAGGAAGACAATGGTGAAGTCCAGTTCCCAAATAATCCAGACCTTATACTGCCTGACAGACGCGTAGTAAACCACCTTGCATTTACACGTGGTTTTACTCAAAAGAACATAAAATTAGCATAAAATAACATCTGCACGCTGGAGGTCTGTGCAAAGCCACCGAACATACCAGGTGTAGATGATCTGCCCTTTGGGATAGGTGTAGAGGACGATGTAGCAGTCGCCGCCGTAGAACTGTCCGTACGTCTCGGGTCCCACAGGAACTCTGCCACTGCTTTCCACACGCCAGATCTGGGAAAACAGAGAAATCCCTAGAGAATGTTAAAACTTCATCCTGAGGCTCTTCAAGAAGCAATTTATTGTGTCGTCCCCTGAGTGACTTTTGCTTCTCTTCCCAAGTGCTATGCAATAAAAACAGGAAGGATTCTTCATGAAGAAGACAGATACACCTTGTGCCCACTGAATGCATGATTAATGACCTTTGGCAAGCCATCACTGTCCCCTTTTCTTTGTCGTGGTGCTTTACTGCCACGTGCTCCCCTCATAAATGCTGTGTTGAGCTTACTTATGATAGTATGACATGAGTGGCAATCATCATAGAACTATCACTGAACTTGGGAGAGGCTCGCTGTAGACAGATAACACAGGCAGATTATTCTTATTTGATTCACCACAGCCCAGTTCAGTTAACAACTGCTCTCCAAAAATATACTGCTAAAATTATACAGCACAGAAATGCTTCACATCTAACCTGCTTTGGCTTAAGCCTATGGACCATCCTAAGTATGAGGTTAGAAATCTAGAAAATATACTATATGTAGGTATTTATTGCTTCTTTTTCTTCCAGTATCCCAGCATGCAGACCTGTATTCAACAGGCTGTGTTGGTACGATGCCATACCAGCCCTCTCTAGCACAAAGATACTCAGATATACCTTTTTCTCTCTGAATCCAGGCTACCTGAGACACTCACTAGGGAGAAAGAAGGTTCTTCTGGAAAGCAGACATGTACATAAAAACACTGAATGAATTTCTGACTCCAAGGGCAAGTTTTCCCATTCCAGATTTCAAGCTGATGTGAGCTATAAGTTTTTCTTTATGCTAAGAATCATTGTGTAGAAGGAGAAATAGTTCTGCTGTTCAATTTCTTTTGGTGACTGTACAACATCTCCCATAAGCACCAAAAACCCCATGACCCAGCATACAGATGACAGAGATTAATTTTATAAATACCCTTTCTGATGGTAAAAGTAGCACTGCCAGTAATGTAGTGTATCCTACACAACAGTTTAAATAGCAAAACATAAAGTAGCACCTTATCCCATTACAAGTAACAGAATATGTAAGTTAGGTGGGATAAAATTTAAGGCAACACAAAAATTACCTCTACTTTGCCAGAACCATCATCTACCATGTTATGCTGGGCAGCCATTTGTGGCGACTCGTGTAACTTGGTAGCATCAAATTCAATCTGCTCAATTTTAGCCACTCTTTCTGTGACATACACTTTGCCAAAGCCATCACTCTGGTCTTTATCCTTCCAGTCTTTGAAAAATTGTTTGAAAATTGGTGTTTCACCCCCTTCGGGAAGGACCTGAATCTGAAACAAAGCAAAACACATGAAATGGAAGGAAAATAAATCTAACTTTTCTGAATCATCGGGTAGTGCAGTATTGCCTTTTTTGTCTTATAAGCCCATAAAAACGTGTGGGTTTATTTCCTGATTTAAAACCAAAGTCTTTAACACAGCTCACGCTCTCCTGGTATCATTTCATAAATAGATCATACCTGTGTGTTGGCAGGATAATTCATCTGCTGTATGAATTGTTCAGCATTCTTCATGGCAGCTTTTCTCTCTTGAGGGTTAGCATTTTTGCCTGGTTAAAACAGAAGGATAACAATACATGGGAAAGGGCAATTTGCTCAAAGATCATGCAAAACCGAGATGTCTTTGACATCGCTCTTGCCTCAGTCTTGAAAAAACACAAATGCTCAACACAACATGGAGATTAAGCAAGAACATTCACACCAAACTGGAAGGCCAAAACAGTACCTCAGTGGCTTTGAAAACAGTTAAAAATAAAGAAAAAAGAAAGGCGGCATTGTTTTTTGCTTAGTGTGTTTCTATAAAAAAAAAATGCTGTCCACAATATCTGCTTGGTTCAAGGAACAAGAACACCCTGGCTCTTCTCTCTGAATCCTCCCTTGCTGGGCTGTGGTGTGTTAAATCAAGCTGCTGGCCAGGGCTGCCTTCCCTTCTTCGGCAGCGTCACAGCCCAGGTAAAACAAACTCCCATTTCATCTGGCTGTGCCATTTGCCGCCACCCTTCCCCACCCACTGCTCCTCGTTCAGCCTTGCTGTCCTGGTTTGCACTAAACAAAATCAGTTCTGTTCAGTGATTTTTACTTTCCAGCTCAGTCTCTTCTTCGAGGCTGCCCTCTCTGAAGTCAGCAGCATGTTTTTGCAGACAGCGTGTGCTGCTGGCAGGGATCACACCTGAGGTTGGTGCTGGTCTCTTCTCACAGGTAATTAGGGACAGAACCAGGGGGAATGGCTGCAAGTTGCAACAGGGAAAGTTTAGGCTGGACATTAGGAAGAAATTCTTCACAGAAAGAGTGGTCAGACCCTGGAACAGACTGCCTAGGGAGGGGGTTGAGTCGCCATCCCTGGATGTGTTCAAGTGTCCTTTAGATGTGGTGTTGGGTGATCTGGTTTAGGGGTGAACTTGTAGTGTAGGGTCAATGGTTGGACTCGATGATCCCAAGGGTCTTTTCCAACCTGAATTGTTCTATGATTCTATGAGGTTTGCCTGGCACTGGGATGCAGAAAGGCTCTGGCTGGTACTTCTTCCTGTAGTGCCCAAGGCCACTGCTGGCTCTGTGTGCCACGCTGGGGGTGCCAAGAAGTAAGAGGGGTCACAAGGAAGTAAAAGGTTGCACCTCTGGAGAGATACAGACAGGACAGGTGAGCAACAAGAGGGTTCCATTCCGTATGTGTCATATTCAGTATAAACTGAGGGATCACGAGGGTTTATGTCTCGTCTCTGCAATGGCTTGTGCCCAGGGAGGACTCTGTCCAATCTCCTGCCTTTGATCCCTATCCTGAGTTCCCAAATCCAGCTCCCGTTCCCAGCTCCCCTCTAGCCACTGAGTCTGGGGCCACCCCAGTGCCACCGGCTCTGCAGCACCACTGGGGATCAATACTGGGGGGGCAGTTTGGTTGGATAGCGGTTGAATTTCCACAAGAACATTAGAATGCTTTACCAGGGCTTGTGGTTTTGTCACATGCTGAAGCACTCCAACAAACCATAGAGGGCAATGTCACTGTCAAGAACAGGGTGCAAGTATATATCATAAATGAAAGCGTTAGTTGGATTTGGCATAGCAATCTCTGTCAGAGTTTAGTGGCCAGCCCAGCCCAGCCCTAACCCGTGACCCTTGCTCAGTGTCAGACATCTCTGACAGTCTCTCTGGGGTGATATTGTGCATCAAGTTATATCTCTGGGATGATATTGTGGATCTCAGGCAGCCCTTCCTCCCGGAGAGGGTGCTCAGGCACTGGGATGCTATGCCCAGGGAAGGGGGGAGTCACCGTCCCTGGAGGGGTTTAAGGAGGATGTGGCACTTGGTGCCCTGGTCTGGCCAGTGTGATGGTGCTGGGTCATGGGCTGGACTTGATGATCTCAGAGGTCTTTTCCAGCCTCAACAAATCTGTGATTCTGTGATCAGGTCTGTATCCCAGCTGGTTGTCAGTGACTATACTCCAAGAACCTTTTAGTCCAGTAAAGCAGCTCTGATAAGCTTTTCTTTGTATCTTATTTCTGAATGAGACCATTAGCAGAGCAATTTACACTCCACAGCTTAATGGTGTGAAGATTTCCAGCAGAGATGATACATGCAGCCTCCCAGTGCCAGGGTGGGTCTCACAGACTCACGTTATTGTTACTAACGGTAGCAAAGTGAGGATGCACGGAGGAGCACATAAGGCCACAGTCACAGGTGTGACTAAATTCTGTACCAGTGCCTGACCTTATTGGCTTGGTTCTTCTAGGAGCAGTGAGGTGGAGAGTGAAAACCAGGTGTCAGGTAGACCTTAGGCCACCTGAGCACAGGGTTCCCGAAGTGCTTTCTTTGAAAGGAAGCTTCCCTAACTGCAAGTGAAGTACTCCAGCAAAAAAGTTTACAATGCTTCCTGGGTTGACTTCAGCAGGCTGACAACTGCATCAATTAATTATCTGCTACGGCACATAGTAAAAAAAATTGCAAATGCCATAGAATAATTAATACACCACTTCAGAAAAGAAAAAAAACAAAAAACAATGAAAAAATGAGATATATAGCACTGGATGCAATGGCAGCACCACACAATCCAGCTACAAGCTGTCCAGACCCAATTCCCTGTAGGAGTATTCTCCTGGGAAATGTTCAGTCAAAGCAGTTGCAGGCATGTTTACAAGCACTGATGATACCACAGAGAAATATTCACATAAAAAACTAAAGCATTCGAGTAGTTGCAAGCTTATATTTTTAGTCCTGGGACACTCACCTTTCAACTACACACCTCTATGGAGTAATATATGGAAATATAACCTCTACTCATTATCAAACCTTCAGTGAAGAGATTTTGTGCCAGAATAAAGGGATTTGATGGCAACATACAAAACTTGTAGGAGCAGCAGGGAAGAACAGCGTGCAGGGTACTGAACTCTCCAGCCAGGATTCAATTCTTGCAGCACGTTGTGTTGACTCCTTAGATTTGTCTTTCTCCATTTGCAACAGAAACGATCTCTTACCTTTCCACACGAAGATCTTCCTGGCAGCACCGTTGTCCAAAATGAAGCACTCCTCAGAGAGAAGCATGGCCATGGAGAAGGGGTTTTCCTCTGCTACCACAGACACCTTCATGGATCCACTTGCATCTGACACCTGAGAAAGCAATCACTTCAACTCTGGCTTTTCCAGACAAATTCATTTATCTTCCCAAAGTTACTACAAAAACCCATTGCCATTCCTAGGTGAATGGCTGTATGAAATTTGTGTGCTGCTGGAAAGTAAAGTAGGCTAATAATTTTTTTTTTTTTGCTTCATTTCGTTTTACGTCCAATAGAGGGAGATGCAGTGTTAATTTTAGGGAGTTCGTTGGATTCCTGTCTCACAACTTCTTAAAATATACCCGTTTCTCTTCCACTTCAAATTCAACCGTTCAGTGAACACCTCACAGTCAAAAATCTGTATTTTCTTCAGCCCACCCTTGGTGCAAATACCAAAAAAAACCAGTACTAAAGCCAAAGGTATGTGGACATGCTGAATGAGAGCATCTGAAGTTACAATAAAATAGTCCTGGAGTAAATATTTATTTAATTTTGTTTACAGGTAATTTTTCTGGCAGTGGCACTGGCCTAATCAGTGTTAAGCCATGGCAGGTGAGGAAGCAGGAAAAAGGCATTGCAAAATAATGGAATTTTGCATTCAAATTCCTTGGATTTATATATAAAATATAACATAACTGTGCATCTCTCAAACTCTGCTCAGAATAATGAAATTATATATAACTACTAAAACTCCCACTGTTACAATCAAGAAGACAGGAACCATAGTTTAGGACCAGTTAAGTCTCCTTTGATCTGCACTGAGGGGTTCATAGGCCAGGTTTAACTTGTTTCCTGAGTAAACAGGCCTATAATCCATTTTTTTTTTTCTCAAATTACCTGGGCTGTCTTGATTGACATCCTTTGAGAAACTTGTCTGCAAAACAATTAACACAACTGCAAAACAATTAACACAACCGAAGGCAGAACTCCATACACGAGGGCACCACGTGCATAATTACTGGAAAAAAACCCAAAACCTACTTACCATGTATAGTTTAGCGCTTCTCCTGTTTGTAATATCAGCCAGTTCATCATCATCATCCCCACACTCAGGAAGCTCTGGCTTGCTCCCTAAAACCTGTACAACAGGAGAATAACCAATTCGATGTAGAGGAGGAGTAGGTTCTGTGAGTTCTGTCGTGTGTTGTCTCACAATCAACTAATTGGGTGGTGAGACACTGGCACAGGCTGCCCAGAGAGGTCGTGAAAGCTCCATCCCTGGAATTGTCCAAGGCCAGGTTGGACGGGGCTTTGAGCAACCTGGTCTGATTAGATGTCCCTGCTCCCTGCAGGGGGGTTGGACTAGACAACCTTTAAAGGTTCCTTCCAACCCAACACATCCCATGAGTCTACGATACATAAAAACCAATCTAAATCTGAACTCTTGGGTGATCTGTTAACAAATAAATGGGTGAGTTTAAACAACTGCGTTGTTTTAGATGTACGTTCTGTCCCTCCTGCAAGCCACCCTGCTGGTTGCCTATGGACTAGGACAGAAAATGACACAGAAAAAAAGAGCTTCAAAGGACAGAACAGAGAGGTTGATGTGCTCCTGCCCTACGTGTGTGGTTTTATGTCTGTCTTCCCCTTTTCCTCCCCGTAATTTCTAAACTGCCAGCAAACAATTTTTGCAATGACATTAATTTTAAACTGTTCGACATTCCTAAAATGAAACCAGGCAGTGACACATACGAGCTGAAATGATCTTTTAAAATATTTTAGTTGACAATACAAAATATCAGATTTTGAGTTCAAAAATCTCAAGAATTTACAGATTCTTAATCCCATTTTAAGAAGTAAAAAATAGCTAAGATCTTGAAAAAAACGGAGTGAGGAAAACATGTTTTTTGCTCTATCACCAGAATGTCAATTTTGACTCTGTGGCAGTTTTATAGTAGAGGGATTTTACACCGTGGGTAGTCTTACAACAGCTATCACTACAAGAAATTCATGGAGGTTCATCAAGAATACGTTATGGTCCACTAGTCATTATTAAATCCACGTACTCATTCTTAACGACGTTTACTTACTGATTCATACACGACCAGATCCAGATATCATGGATTTCCATGAAATTATGTCCCTTAGTGAACGTAGTAGTAATTGATAGATCTGAGTAACTAAATATTAATCAAGGACAAGGGTAATGCCTTCCTATCGACACAGTGTATTTGCATATATCATGTAGTCACATGCAGAAACACTGTAAATATTTGATAACAGGGAAACCTGTCAAAGTATACAGCCACAATCTGGGAAAAAACCCACAATATATTCTAAACGTTAAATATAAATCTGCCATCTGTGGAATTTCCTGACCTGGTAAAGCCAATAAAATAATTGGTCTCAATAAGTATGATCACTCCAATTTAATCTAAAATAATTTACCCATTGCAGAAGAAAAATTAATGTCCTGAGTGTTTAAGAAAGATGTTACCAATAGCTTTTCAGTAGCTATCAGTCAGCATTTCCTGTATTTACATTATATGGCTACAAATTTACTAATGTATAGGCCAAGCAAGGATACATTTTCATGTATCTTTATCATCCTTTATCATGCTTCTTCACCCAAACAGACACTGAAAAGGTTTGAGATTTTTATAACATTTGACTTCCAGTGATGATTAAGAGGATAAAAAGTCCTGTTAACAAAACTTCCAGAAGCAAATACTCACTAGTTCTTTGCTTAATTAGGTATTTCCGGCAAAAAAAAATAAAATAAAAAGAATAAATGCACAGATTGTGATTCTTGACACAGTTAAAAGTCAGCATTTTCCCTTGCTGTGCTTATTGAATACCTGTGGCAATACAATTGTTTTGCAGCTTTGCTGTAAGTCACTTAAAGTGATATAAAGTGCTTTTAACATTTTCTGCTTGCCCAGGGGCCTTTGAAAACTATGCAAGTGCCACTCTTAATACTTATAAAAAAGGCTGAATAGGGCCTGATGGTGTTGGTGAAAGCGTTTTGACAGAAGCAGCCTCTCTGTTCACGGCACAGTCTAGGAGCTCCACTCTGGTGGCAATTAAAGCAAGCAGCCTCTGTAATTTAAAAATTGGTCTTTAACACTGGCCCCAGCACAGTTCAGATTGCTGGCCTGACCTGCTGATGTCTTAAAACAGCATTTAGAAATGTTTGGGTTTTTTTTTTTTTCTGAACAAGACAGAGAATTATTGTCAGACTCCCTAAGCCTTGTCTTAGGAAATCTCAGTTCATCAGTGCTGGCACGGAGAGAAGGGTTAAAAACCTCCTTCGTGCAGGGGCAGTGTCGCTATGAGAGGAGCTGTGCTGGAAAGGGGAGAGACATTCTGGTTCTGGGGAAATCCATTCACAAATCACTGATCAGCAGCTTGCACGGCAGCTTCTCCGGCCAAAGCTACTACCCCCGTGCTTCCGCACAGGCAAGCAGAAAAGGAACATTACTCAACTTTCTAATTCTGCGGTTTCTCAGAGGAGCTCAAATATAAATGCAGAAGGGCCCTGAGGGTTCCCCTGGTATTCTGGTGACCCTTAAGAAGGAACAAGTTGTGGTTCTCCTCCCACCAGGTAAGAAAATCCAGGATTTGTGGACTGTACAGCCAACACAGCCATTAGGGTAAGCCTTGAGCTGAATTACTAACAAGTGTATATACTTGCGTGTGTTGGTATCAAAACCAGAAAATGCCACAAGGTGAAAATGACTTAAGGCACATGAAGACATCATCCACGGTGTGAAGTAACGCAGCACGCACTGTATCTACATTCTATGCATGAAACGGCACAGCATGAAATATATACGTTAAGCTTTTGTATTGCTAGGAACGATTTACGTCATTCCCAATATTCATTTCAGCCAGACTGTTGGTCTTGTACGCTGGAGGATGAGAGAGATTACAGAAGGAAAAATTTTGTGCTTAAACAGAAAGCAATTTACGCTGAAAAAAAATGTTCTGTGTCAAAGAAACTCCTTCCCAGAGAAGGTGTCTTTCCTTCTTCTAAGGCAAACTCCACACGCAGCTACACCACATGTGCAGGGATAACACCTGGTAATTTTATCAGTAAGATTACAAAGTGTGTACTGAACAACAGCCAACTGCTAGGCTGGAATTGGGCTGGATCATTACAGAACCATATGGCTGACTGAGCTGCAGCTCTCCAGGGCACCTCACCTTTATACAGATGATTCTCATGTGACGCATCAAAAAGAAAACAAATCATGCCAGCTGAGGCTGTAGTCAAAGGCTCCCAAAGCTTTCCAGCAGGGTCCCTCAATAAAAAAACCCTTAAATTAACAGGTTAAAGGACATTGAGTCTTCTGATCCTCATCTACATGTACTCTTTGTGTCTGTGGTAGCTATCAACACAAGACCTGGCTTGTATAAATCTCCCTATACAGGCCAATCAGGCTGCTCCACGGGGTCTTTACATCTTATGACCCAGTGCCCCAAGAGCCCTTGGCTGGGTGACATTTGGGACCCTGACTTGTGCACACTCCATGAATCCAGACACACAGATCCACTGCACACACCTGAAAATAGCAATGCTCGCTCGGGGATGGCAAACAACCTTAGGCACCCTTTTCCCCAGATGGCAACTCCAAATCATACTTCTTTCAAGACCACAGGTGCACACACAGGTCTGGTAACCCCTTTTTAAAAATCATTATTATTATTATTTACTGCAGTAGAAATAATCTAAATAATTAGGGGCCACGAAAGCATACCGGTGCCCCAGCTTCCTCATTCTTTGGGCTTAGTGTCTTTCTCTGCAGCTGCTGATTTCCAAACCAGAAACGCCAGCTCAATGAGAGCATCGAATTGCCAAGTCAGCGCTGATTTATCACGAGTGTTCATGAACTCTACACCTTTAGATCTTGGGGGGGTGGGAGGGGTGAGAGCAGGAATTCATTTTAGAAGTTTGGTTTTTTAAGTTTTGTTAAACGCGCGTGTTCGCACTCTTTGGTCAGTGCAAGAATATTGCAGGCAAAACCAAAACCAAAAGAACATCAGCTCCTCTACATCTGCCCCAGTTCACTCTTCTCTTGTGGTAAATGCAGTGTGGCTTATCCTGCCTGCAAAACCATCACCCCTTTCCATATCCTCATGTCCATGAGTTCTTCCTTGCAAATATCCGTGCCCCCTGAGAGAAGTGCAAAATACAGAGCCAAAGCTTTTAGTGACAAGTGAAATTCCGCTCCGTTGCCTTTAAAAATGAACAGAAGAAATCGCAGGCGCAAGGTTTCTAATCTGTAGGAATGTGACAAGGTAACTAATCTAAAATAAGCCCATCAAAAGAAGAAGTTTAGCAAACATTGTCTTCCTAACTGGAGAAGCCAGCTCTGCATAATGAAATAGCTGGTATTGACTTAATGGGAGGAAGAAGTTTAAGTAGTTCAGTGAGGCTGAAAATCCAACTTGGAAAACAATACTTGAACAACATGTCAAGTGAAGGTTAATTAAGAGAGAAAACCAGTTTCATACAGTTTAACTTGTGTACACTAGCGCCGTGTTTGTGTTTCTTCTTACTATATACATTTTGGGTTAGGTTTCTGCGTATGAAACTGAACTATTTGTTACGGCTGTGATGCCAAGTGTCAGATCTCAAAACCCCTCAAATTCCCCTGTATATGCTAAAAACAATAGGAAGAAAAGCAAGACATTTACATAACTTAAAGCTGTCTTGTGGGCCTGACATTTTATTACTTAAAACTTCTGGAAATGAGGATTAGTAGCTCATCATTTACTTTCTTGCACGCTCTGACGTAAGCAAGTGTATCCTGCTCCTACAAACTCCAGGTACACATGTAGGCTGTGGCAGAGAGTAAGTCCTCTCTGCAGGACAACAGGTCTGAGATATTCCTGTCCAGACCAAAATGACTTTGGGCATCGGTCAGATTATGAAATATGCGTATTTCCCTGGTTACTGTAGCTTGGAGCTCTTCCCATCAATCTGACCAAACATTCATAATCTATAAAATATACTCCCATCAGGAAATAAATGATAAAATCCTTTGACTAAACTGCTCCTAGGGAGTGAGCAAGATTTCTGCCTGAAATCACAATTCCAGCAACACCAGATGCTGTTACGTGCTCACCTTGAGC